AGCTCTCAACTCGAACGCACTACTCCAGCACCTCCAAAACTCCAACGCCCTTCTGCAGTCCCAAATCCTCACCTCCACTCACGAATTCAAGCAACTCCAAGAAACGCACGCGCTCGTCCACGCCCAACTCCTCAACTCTGTCAGCAATGTCGAGTTCCAGCAACTCCAGGAAGCAAACAAGTCACTGGAGACCCAGCTTGCGTCAAAGCTCGTCGACATTGACGCCGCTCGCTTGCGGCTGATGCAGGCCGGAGAATCCATCCGCGCCACACAAAGCCGCCATGCCCAGCTTCAGCAGGTCTCTTCGCAGGCGCTCTCCGACTCTGCACAAAAGCAGCGCCAGCTCGAAGCCCAAGTGCAGCAGCTGCAAGCGCAGCTCCTGTCTGCAACGCAGGAGATGGCCACCAAAGAGGCAGAGTTGGAGGCCGTCCGAGTTGAGCTCTTTGCGGCGCAGTTGGCTGGTCGCCCGGGCACTCAACCAGCGCAGAGCGTCTCGGCCGCGGCGTTTGCCGAAATGGAGGCTGCAGAGGCTGAGGCCGCGGCCAACAGGGTTGAGACTCCGCAGCTGCCCATGCATTTCGTCCTGGAACTCACCGGCAACTTTACGCCTCTGGCATGCCTTGGCTCTGGTCGCACTGGCGCCTACTACCAGTGCATGATGGGCGATCAGCTGGTGGCCGTCAAGAGGCTCCTGCCGCAAGAGTCCGCCGATCCCACCCAGTTCCGCTCGGAAATCGAGCTCCTCGCCCGCCTGAGCCATCCGAACGTGGTGCCCCTCTATTTTTACGCCGAGGAAGGCAGCGACCGCTGTATGGTGTTTGAGCACATGAAGCATGGATCGGTGAGAGATCGCCTGTCGCTCAAGAACAACACTCCTCCGCTGAGCTGGCAACAGCGTCATGCCATTGCTGTGGGCGTGGCAGAGGCAATGCGGTTTGTGCAGCAAGCCATCCCTCGCAGCCCCGTCTTCCATCTCAACTTGAAGTCCTCCAATGTGCTGCTCGACAACCATTTTGTTGCAAAAATCACCGACTTTGGCCTGTCCCGCTCGCCGCCCGTAGCCAGCAGCAAGCACATCTTCCGCCAGGGCATCCAGCACTCGATGCAGTACCTCTGTCCCGAGTATCGCGACGAAGGCAAGGTTTCCCTCAAGACGGACGTCTTTTCGTTCGGCATGCTGCTGTTTGAGTTGCTGACGGGCCAAGAGCCCTCGCTCAACCTCCGAGGCAACGCCCGTCGCGAGATTCGCAGAAATCAACACGCTCGAGCCACCTTTGACACGACCATTGCGTGGTCGGAAGCTTCCACCGCGCAAGCCGAGCAAGTGTGCAATCTCGCCATTGACTGCATGGAAGAGGCGCGCATGTATCGGCCGTCCTTCACCGATGCACTTGAAATTCTCGGCGTTGCAGTGCCAGGACCCCCGCCTGCGGCCGACGAGAATGACGGAGCTCGCGAGCGCGAGTGCCTGATCTGCCTCTCGGCGCCCACCACTGCCAAGCTCATGCCGTGCAGGCATGCCTGTCTCTGCACCGAATGCGCCACGACCCTCATGCAACGGAACGAGCGCTGTCCTGTCTGTCGCGGGCACATTGAGTCGTTCGAGACTGGCAACTTTTTGCAGACCTTTGTCGCTCAGCGCAGCTGATCTGAGGTGGTGGAGGAAAGGGGTGCTTGTATCGAAGAATTTCCACACTAAAAATTGCAATCATGTCCAGTCTATTTTTTTTTGAATAATCTCAGAAATCTCACAAACGCAAATGAAACTGAAGCACTTGGAAAGCGCGCTTCAGGACGTTGAGGCTTTTGCATCGCCCAAAGTCAAGCTCGAGCAGTATCCGACTCAACCACACGTTGCAGGTACCTTTTTCACTTTGTTTCTTGTTTTGACTTTGTGGAATAAGAGTCCATGTACATTGCATTGGGGGGACGTTGGCAGCGATGACCCAAAACGCGGGGCTCACATGGCTGCTGCACATTTGATTGTCGCTTGGACCGACCCTCGCAGCACAGATGCTCTATACAATGCACAACTCGTTTGGCGACATTGAGGGCAAGGCGGTTGGCGATCTGGGCTGCGGATGCGCAGTGCTGAGCATTGGCGCCGCTCTGCTCGGAAGCGCCTACAATGTGGGATTTGACATTGACACGGACGCGCTCAAGATTGCAGCCGCAAATGCTGCTGAATTCGAGTGCGACATTGACTTTGTGCATTGCGACGTCGTCGAGGCGCTCGGTCTGGCTGCCAACGCTCAGCCGCCATTGCACATTCAGATGGCTGCACTGTACGTTCCCATGCATGCATGCATGCACGGTTGGATCGATCTACGTTAGATTAGATTGCAGTCATCATGAAATTGTGTCATGATTCAATGGCATGGAACTCGTGCTGACCTTCAATGGATGGATGGTTTTGCTTTTGTTCAATGACCGCGTTCGAACCCGAACAACTTTTATTCTGCAGATCCACAAATGACTCAAGCTCCCCAGCAGCAAGTTCGAGCAACGGTTTGCCATTGTTAGTGCGGCCAAAGTCGCTGGATACGGTGATTATGAACCCGCCGTTTGGCACCAAGAACAATGCCGGAATTGACATGACTTTTCTGCACGCCGGCGTCCTGCTCGCACGCACCGCTGTCTGGTCACTACACAAGACTAGCACGCGCAAGGTAAGAAGTCAGAGTAGTCAGTGCGATGGCGTGGTATTGTTTGCCAGCTGCCGTCGATCTCATTTGAATTGGGTTTCCCACAACGCTTGGCAGCACATTGCCAAGAAGGCTGCTGAATGGGGCACTACGATGGAAGTTGTGGCTGAGCTCCGCTTTGACATTCCTGCAATGTACAAGTTCCACAAGGAGAAATCGGTCAGTTTGAGATGATTCGTTTGTTTCGGTTTGTTTCTTTGATTTTAGTTGGTCGTGTGTATCGGAACAGGGCGGTGTTGCACTTTGCAGAGTATCGCACATTTCTGATGTTGCTTCTTCATGGGTCATTCTGAACTGCAGGTCGACGTCGCTGTGGATCTCATTCGTCTTGATTGCACGCGCGCTCCTTCGCGATAACAACCGCTCTTGTCACAGCGACAGTCCTGTGTAGCGTGTGGGAGTTTTGTGTTTGTTTGTACCTTAGTTTTGCTTTTGTATCAGTAGGATGAGTTTGTGTGGTCAAACCGCGTCCCAGTCACAGTTCGTCAGACATGCTCTTCCTGCAAGTTCGCCCATTCTCTCACGCAGCAGTGATGACGCTGTCATCGTCCTGCATCGCCTTCCATCGTTCGTTAATTGACCTTCCTAACGCAGACTTGCGTGTCACCTCAGCACGCTATTCATCCGAAATGAGTTTCGCTGGCCGGTTTTATTTCTTATTCTCCATTCTCCCATACAAAGAGCATTTGAAACCAGAACCCCCCGTCTCTGAGATGAACCTGTCTCTCATCTTATATCAGCCCACTGACATCACGCTTCAAACGTCATCCACCGAACAAAACCGACGCAAAGCAACCAAGAAGCAGCACGAGGTCTTAAAACCCGTCAAACTGCCTCTCTCTCTCTCTCTGACTTCTCAATTCACTCAACCCTGACTGCTCGTCGCAATTCACTCTCCGACTGAGTATGATCACAACGTCCACACGTTGCTGCTCCTCCTTCTTCTCATGCATCGAAACTGAGTTTACTTGTACTGAACGCGAGTCAGTCACTCACTCAGTCACTTTGTTGTTTTTTTGCCATGACAGCCGAGTTCTGCGTCGCCGTGTACGATTTCACCGCCACCAAGCGCGACGGGCTGTCGTTCGCCAAGGGTGCGCGGATTGAAGTCCTGCAGCGCCCCGACGACGGCTCTGGCTGGTGGCGCGGACTGCTCGTGCCCGACAGCCATGCGGAAGACGACGAGCAGCAGCAGCAGCAGCAGCAGTCCGGCTATTTCCCGGGTCAGTACGTCCGGCTGCTCGACGCGAACGGCGAGATTGCCCTGCCCGACGGATGGAAGGCATACACTACGCCAGAGGGCCGCGCTTACTATGTCCATCTGGCAACCAAGGAGCGCTCGTGGAAGGCGCCAGAGTACGTCCCGGGACCAGCAGCAGCAGCAGCAGCAGCAGCAGCAGCAGTCAGTGAAACCGCAGCGACCACAACCCCACCAGCAGCAGCAGCGAGACCGCTCGGTCCGGCTCCTTCTGCACCTGCACCGGCAGCACCGCTGAATGCCACTGCTAATGCTGCTGTTGCTACTGCGTCGTCGCCGAGCAAGCCGCCGCCAGCAAAGCCAGCCAAGCCAGCCGTCAGCGCCCCGCAAGTCAATCATCACGAGACGGCTCCTGCAGCAGCCAACGCAGCAGCCGCGGCCTACCAGGTAAGGGAGGACCCCGGAACATTTGCGTCGTTGTGGCTCACCATTAATTGCACCGAAACCAGGAGGCGGCTGGGTTGACTTTGGTGCAGGGAGATTGCGTTGTGCTTCAATGATCGTCTTTAAGGCAGTTGGGAGGGGATCATCAAGCCAAAGCCCAGACTCGCACTCTGCATACACATTGTATCGAGTTGATACGGGGCTAGGGAGGGGCGGGATTTTGAAAACTTGAGCCACGCTTGGTTGCCATGCGCGCTCACATACTGAGAAACTCAACTCAGACACACCTCTGTCCCTCAGAGACCTCGTCCACATACCTCTCGTTGCTACACACTTGATGGCCGGTTTCTCATTCAGCCTCCGGGTGTTTTTTTTGTTTTCCATTTTCCTTTGTTGCCAGGACAAAATTCGGTCGCAACTCCAAGGACACCTCGCCAACCAGCACAAACAGGCAATCTCTCGAGGCTCGAGCCAGGAGAACTTGAGCGCCGACGTGGCCCAGGATGAGGACGATCCATACGAAGAGTACGACTATCCGGCGTCGTCTGCGCCGACATCGGGTCACTCGTCTCCTCCGCCGCCCACGTCTCAGAACACGACTGACGCTGAGCAGCCGGGCATGCGTCGGCAAAACTCGGCGCCAATGACCCGTATGTCCTACAATGAGGATGACTATGACATCTCCAAGTTTGACGCCAAGGCCCTTGTTGCTTCCGCAAACGGTGTGTTCAGCGCGATGGTTGTTGCAAGTATTCTTGTTGCTGTATGTGCAAGTGCTCACGACTTTTGCCTTTCTTTTCATTGGCGCTTCCTCTGGCCTATTTCGTCCCTGATTCCTCTTTGTTTCTCTTTTTGCGTTTTTGAACCAAAACAAATCCCAACCCTTCTCACCGGCAGCCGAATTCGAGGCCGAGGTCAACGAACCGCTCGATCCAAACAAAATCGGCTTTGTCGACCACTTCTGGGGCGAAGATGACAAGGGCAATCTGGGCTTTGATCTGCTCGTGCTCAAGCATCGCAATGGCAAGGAAGTGTGCAAGGATATGGCAGAGTTTATGCGAGAGCGCGCCGCCATCGAAGACCAGTATGCCAAGCAGCTTGCGCGACTAGCAAAGACCTCGCTGGGTGATCAGGAGGAAGGCTCGCTGAAGACGGCGTGGAACCAAGTCAAAATGGACATGCTCAACCAATCGCAAGCACACCAGAGCTTTGCCGGCGCTCTCGTGACAGATCTGGACAAGTCCATTATGAAGTTCAAGGACGGTGCCAAGAAGCAGCGCAAGGCATACGAGGTAGGGGTGCACTCTCTGGTTTGACATTTGTAATTGAATGTGTGCCTTGCTGTTTTCTCAGCGCGTTGTCTAATGTGCAGGTCACATTGTCGCAAGACCGCAAGGCCCTGGCCGACAGAGTCCCAAACGTCGATCGTGCCAAGCGAAACTTTTTCGACAAGTGCAAAGAGCTCGAGCAAGCCTCCACCAAGGAAGATCGCGGCCAACTCGACCACATGACCAAGAAGGATTTCTTAAAAGTACAAGAGGATGCACGCCGCATGCGCCAGCGCGCTGAAGTTGCCGGTAAGCGTTGAGATTGTGTTGTCTTTGTGTTTTGGTCGAGTGTGACTCTGACTGTTTCTTCCATGAATACCACTTAGCCGATGAGTACCGTCGTGCCGTCGACGAGTACAACAAGGCGCACAAGCGTCTGGAGGATGACATGATTCATGGGTGCATGGTAAGGCTGAGATGATTCGACTCAAGATGAGCTTTGTCGAGGAGTCGCTCATTGGGCTTTTGTTTGTTTGTTTCTTTGTTTGTTTCTTTGTTTGTTTGTCATTGCTTTGGTCTCCCTAGGACTTTGAGGAAGCCGAGCTCGAGCGTGTGGGCTTCCTGAAAGAGCAACTCATCAAGTACATTAATTTGAAGCGCCAAGTGAACGAATCCAGTTCTCAGGTACCGGTTGAACACTCCACTGCACCGGGTGAAGGTGTTGTTGGCACACAATTCACTGGTTGTCTCTTGGATGGTAATGGGGGCGGGGCGTGTGACGAACGCGATAGTCGCTGGCGTTTGCTGCGGAGAGTGTCACAGCAGCGGAAGCACGTGTCGATATCGAGTACTTTGTGCGGGCAAAGGGCACCAACCAGCCAAGACCGCGCGGTCTCAAGATGGAGTCGTACCCGCCTCCAACAGAAGGGCTGGAACGGTCGCGCTCCTTTGCGCGCCCGTCTGGCGGCACCATCCGGCGCAAGCCCGCCGCACTGAATGACGCTCAGAATTGAACGGCATCGTGGCTGGATGGTCATGTCACCCCATCTTCCGGTATAGCATGGAGAGAAAGTGTACATTGCAGATACACTTTCAATGTCTAGGACGAAGCACACGCTTGTTTTTATTGTTTGAATGATATTGTTTGAACACGCTTGTTTTGATCGTTGGAATAAAGTCAACACAAATTGAGTGGGACTCAGACATCAGACAGACAGACAGACAGACAGGCAGACAGACAGACTGACAGACAGACAGTGGGAGGAGAAAGACAGACAGTGTGAGGAGAAAGACAGATTGTGCATGAGAGGCGAGAGTCAGCACAGGTTGTTTCACCAGTCCAGTGGAGAGACAAATCGCATCATCTAACAGCAATTCTAGCGTCCAACGAAAGCTAGCTTGGCTCTTAGATGGTGTGATTTGAATCTCCCTCATTGGCCTGGCACAAAACGCGCTACTCAGTCCTCCAAGACAAAAATGTCAGTCCCCAAAGAGAAAGAAGGTCAGGTAGATTCACAAAAGTCAAGTGACACAAGGTCACTCGCGGTTGAAATATGGGGGTAAGTGGATGGCGAGGAAGTGCAAGATCCGAACGTAATTGGCTTCATTCTGCGGGAGGTCCAGATTCCCAGCTTGTTCAAAGAACGTCTGAAAACGTTCAAATTCCTCGTAGGTTTGGAATGCCAAAGAACGCAGCGGCTTCTGAGGGTCGGCCAAGTTCTTCAGCAAGGTGTGGAATCGTTGAAGAAATGAAGGACAGTTATTTCGAGCGTTTTGATCCGAATTGTTGCCTTTCTTGTTGGAACTTCGAGGCTTCCCAAAGTGTTCGTAGTTGACCCTAAAGGCAGCCACTAAGAGTATGCCATGGACGATGGAAGGCCTCAGCATCATCGTGGGAACTCTGCGCTTCTTGCCTCTCCACTTGGAATTCTGAGATCCGTTTCCAGCACCTCTAGAGGCCGATTGCTCAATGTCGTCCAATCGTTCAGCTTCAGATAGTTTGTTTCGAGTCATCTCTGCGATTAAATTTCGAAATTGAGAGAGGCCGGGGTCAGCCTCCAATCTGTCAAACCAAACTTGAGTTGATTCTTCAAAGCAGGCACTGAGGAAGTCGAGTAGCACATAACTGTCCAAGAATGGCAGGATTGTTTTGAAAAGAGCGCCCATATCACTGGGTGTGGCGTTCGGACGGCCAATTGCGTTGATCAAGTGCTCCCACGCTTGGCGAGCAGCTTCACCCGAACTGGCGGGTTTTGGAGGACGACCGGGACCCTTGCGCTGCTCGGGAAGCGCTGGAGTGCGATCCGCGCTGTCCTGGATGGTCGGTGGCGCAGGCTGGGGTGCTAAGCCGTTCTCAGAAGTACTCGACAACCATTGATAGCGGTCAAGAACCTTCTGATTTTCCTCGAGTTGGGATGCGAAGGGTGAGTTGTCCGGAACCGCGCTGCGTGGCTCAACCGAGGGGCCACTGGCAGCATTGTCGTCGTCTTCGCTTTCTTGATGGGTACGCTTGCGTTGGGTGCCAGGGGCGTCGGGATTGTCGTGGCCACGCTTGTAAGCAAGACGATTGTTGCCCAGATTGGACGAACGGCGCGCTGACACGTCATCTCCATCCGGACCAATGTCACCATCATCCGCAGCAGCGCCTTGATCAGCAGCGCCATGAACAGCATTGCCAGTATTGCGCCTGCTCAAGCCTGAGGCTCGCGTGGCTCTCGAACGGGAGGCCATGCAGCTTGGATGTAAACTAAGCACAAGGGAATTTCGTGGAGTACTGTTTTTGGGAATGGGCCGGATTGCCGTGTATGAGCACCAAGTATCACAGAAGGAACCGCGTGATTCAAGGTCGAAACTTTTGGCGCGTGGACGTGATATAGATGGGATGTGGCGAGCAAGAGAACAAGCGAAAAGAGAGGGAGAACGGTTGGAAAAGGTATCGTCGAGGAACAGTGAAAAGATTTGTTGATTCAACGTCAATGAATGAATGATTCACAATCCGATTGCCAAAAGTAGCGATGGTGAGCCGCAAGGTAAACAGTCAATGCGTTGGGTTTGCAGTCGAAAACGGTCCCTTCAGCGCATCCCTGACGTCGTGGCATTGCGAAGGGATCTAAAGTTTCGTTTTGGCGCGTGCGCGCGCATTCTCTGCATCAGCCGTCTCTTGCTCCTAAACTTGAAACATGCTGACAGAATTGGCTCACAGCAGTTGGAACATGCAATTTTTTATTTGGTTTTCGGTATTTTTGAAGGAGGGAAAGAAGAAAAAAAGCAACAAGAACAAAAACAAACCAAAAGGAACGTCACTAGACGCTGAGCATGGTGCTACTCGATAACAGCATTGGATTCGAATATCGAGTGTGTGACGCTTCGGGCAGCCGACCATGCACATCCGACAAGTGCGCGAGGGGTTGGCAAGTTGAGGTTGGGTGTGAGAGTGCGATTACATTGAAGCTGCTTCACGCTCTTTTTTTTTTTTTTTCTTCTTCTTTTCTTTTTTTTTTTTGTGTGTGTGTGTGTGTGCGTGTGTGTGTCGGTACCAGAATTGGTAGAATCATGTGTTAGAAGGAGCTGGACGGGGAATGGTCGACAAGGAGAGGCTCAATGCAAACTGTCGGACGTACCTGACATTCTGAGGAGTGTCAAGAAGCTTTTGACCTGCAACCGAATGGTAATCCTGGGCCTTAAAATCGTTGAAAATCTGATAGGGCACCACAAAGTACAGCTCGGGGGCTGGCACAAGACGGACAGCTTCAGCCAGTCTCTGCGCTTTGATCGGATGGTTTAACGAAACCGTCATCTGCAAGAACTTGTTCGGTGAGATGACGGCGTCGATGGCCGGATGATTGCTAGCTGTGGGCTGAAAGTACATGTTGCTCGACTGGAGATCGACCTGGTTGAGCGCTTGGAACAAAACGCGCGTGAGCGGTGGAATGACCAAAGTGGACACAGCTGCTTGGGTGTTGGACAAGTCACGAATTTGGAAGGAGCCACCCTGCGGGATGATGCTATGAGCATACTTCTCAAGCAGCTGTCCGCGAAGCGAGGCGTAAGGTGCAAGATCATTGACTGCACCCAGAAAATGGACAAGATTGGCATGCTCTTCGGTAAACGAACGATGCAGATATTGTTCGACCACCCAATCGGACGCAAACAACAGTCGAGTTTCCTGGTAAGGGCATGTGGTGCTTGGTAGGACATCGATGTGAACAATTCGGTGTGACGCCTCTTGTTCACCAGCGGGCTTGTCAACGGCGCTGCGAATGTTCTCGATTTTGCAACTGTTAATCGCCTCTTGCAACGGTCTCTCTGAGTTCTGCAGGGTCTCAGCCTTGAAAACTTGGCGAGCAATGCCACCCCACCGTGAAAATCGCATTTCGGCATCTCGCATGTTCTCTGGAGTCGCGTTCTGTTGGTGGAGGCAGGCGAAAATCTCGTCCTTCGACCACACTGGCATGTACCGCCTTGGCATGGAATCTTTCTCGAGCTCTTTGTAAAATTCGCGGCGAGGGTAGGTGACGAGCAAGGTTTGAGCATCGTAAAGACCAGCAGCGTGGCCATCGACAAGGTACCAGGTCTTGAGAGAGTCTAGCGCCAGGGCAAAGTGGTCGGAAAGGATGCTGCCCTTTGACACGGTCTGGTCGGAGCAGAGCAGGTATCGCGGCTTGGCCTCAAGTTGAGCAGGTTCGTAGACAACAGTCAACTCAGATTGTGGGTCGTCTCGCCACCGCTGGACGATACGATACAAGAAGTATGCCGAAAAGAACGTCTTGCCAATGCCCGGATTGCCGATTACAACCCAGGGCTGCCGCTCAGCTCCGGAATTGGTGATGATGTCAAAAAGGGCAGGATAGCACTCGCGGACCATGAGAGTCCGGCCCATTCTGCGTTTCCCCATCCAGACCACATCGTCAGGCAGAACCAAGAAAACAAAATCGACACCATTGACGCGGTGCGGCTGCTCAGTCACCTGGCCGGCCAGAAGCGCGCGCCAAAACGTGACAAGCAAGTCGTTGTCGCCCACTACCAAACCGAGGTTCCAAAATGAGCAAGCAAGGCAGATCTCGGGACTGAGAAATGTAAATGAGAGAAATCAATACTTACACGGATGCTCGCCTAGAGCTTGAGCTTGAAGCCGCTTGAAGCGTGAGTTCTCTGCTTGAAGCCGCTGGCTCTCTGCTTGAAGCCGCCGGGTCTCTGCTTGAGACTCTGCAAGAAGCCGCTGGCTCTCTGCTTGAAGCCGCTGGTTCTCTGCTTGAAGAGCAGCAACTGCATCTCGAAGATCTGCCACATTCGGTTGAAACAATAAAAATCACGCGCAAACACATTGATAGTGAGGCTCCATGTGCGAGACCCAGCACCTGAGCAAGGCGGACAGAGTTTCACTTGCTTGGGTCTTGTCGGGCAGGCGTCATGGCGTGCAAACGCTGGTCCTGTGCGATATTTCCTGAATCGCGGACAGTTGTTGCAAGGCTATCAAAGTATCGCAGATTTTCCTTCAGTGCCGAGCTCAGTCGGGCCATCGCGACCTCCAGCGTTGCTCGCTCGCTGTCTGCCCCGTGTGGTTGCTCCACGCGAGGGCGCTGCACTTCGCTCGGCGAACGGGCTGCAGCTGAGGGCGAGCGCGGTCGCCGAGCAGGTGATGTGGACAGGTGGCTGGCTTGGCTATCGCTGGATTGCGACATTTTTCAGAAAAAGAGACAAAAAGGACTGTTCCAATTCAAGTTGAAAATCCTTGCACGAAGACAAGCTGTTGTCTCTCATTCCAACGGAAAACTTTCATGAAGTAGAGAAGACGCGAGAGAATTTAGCGTTGTGTGACAAACCTTGCATCAAAATTACCTGAAAAATACATGGAATACTGTACCATCCCCATATTGCGGTAATCTTCATCCTGCTGCGAGGGTGGCAGCTGCCGCTTGGGCTACGTCAGCATCGTCGAGAGGAATAAGTTTATCGTGGTACACGGCGTCGTACAGCCAAGGGCCGGATAGTCGCTTGTAAGCTGTTACGAACTAGGCTCAGCCTAGTTAGGCTTCCCCTCATTCTTCACTATATTCTTAGTACACGATACTTCCGCATTCTAGCATACTTTAGTAGTGATACGGGTTATGTTCCGGGTAAGGTCGTAACATAAGCGACGATTGTGTCGTCTCATGACAGCTGTTTGATCGTTTTGCGCGCGCAGCTGGATGTAATGGCTTGCGTTCAGCAAAACCTCTTGTGGTAGGAGGTTTGTGCGTGACATCAGGTCAGTTGGATGTCAGGTGAGGGGGCGGGCGGTAATGTATTACAGGTTGAATGCGCAGAGAAAATAACAAAACCAAAAAAAAAAAAAAAAAAAAAAAAAAAAAAAAAAAAAAGCAAGACTGCTCATTATCATCGACTGTGCAGAAGAAAGATGAGGAGGAGGACTCTTTGTCACAAAACTGGATCTGCCGGGCTGTAATCCACCTGTCTCCAACTGAAAACGCCGACCTTCCCCCTCCCCTCTCGTAACCGAGTTGAGCTTGCCACTGTGAAAGCACAAATCCAGAGGGCCGAGGTTGTTCCATGGCTGGCTATCGGACAACACTACAGCCTTGTTGAACACTGCCTGGACACGCGCTGCGCTTGAGGACAACGGGGTGTGTGCGTTGGTCTACTCGCTGAGATGCTCACTGTTTTCCCCCCCCCCTCTCTCCCTCTCTCTCTCCATCCCTCTCCTTTTCAATTTGACAGTATTTTTGGCAAAACAAAAAGTATCACTGTATGTTCAAGCACGTTCCCATCCAAAAGCGGCATCAACAAGCTGAGCAAATTCATCGGATTTCAATATATTAAGCACCCAGTCCTTGATCCGCGAACGAGTTTCCTGGGAGTTGCGATCGTTCGCCAGTATCGAGTTGTATGGAACAACTCGCGCGGCGGGGGCGTGGTTGCCAGAAGCTTGAACAAGTTTGTCAAAAAGTGTCGGCGCACGAACAACGTAGAGCACCCCTGTGCCTTCAACGACGAGCATTGAGCGTTTAGGCACGAGATGTTGGTGTATCTCCTTCTCTAGATCATATAGATCCTCATGCTTGATGAGGCGTAGGGCAGCGCCGGCTTCTTCGCCAAACTCGCGCGCAGCTGTTCGGCTCGGATCCTCCCGTCTTCTCGGAACAATCAGCAGACGCTTTTTGCCACCAAACATTTCCCATCCCGGACTGGTCTCGTTTTTCTCGAACAGGAGGAGGGAGACATTGGGGTCATCATTGACCAAAACCACAAAAGCTGCACTGTGGGTTTGGCGATCGGTTGTGTGGACGAGATTGAGGTGCTTGTCGCGCCATTGGAACCACCGTGCCTCTGCAGTCTGTTGGCGGTCGTCAGGGGGAGGAGGCTGGCTGCCGTTAGGGCGATGCGGCTGGCTGGGGTCACGGGGAGGAGGAGGCTGGTTGCCAATGAGGGGAGGGCTGGCTTGGTCATCGCGCCGAGAGACACTGCCTTGATCGCTATGAGACGCCAGGCCGCCGCGCCCTCCTTGAAACGCCTGGACATTTGGACCGCTTGTAGACGCATGGCCACCGCGATTGCCACGAGGCGCAGGGCCGCCGCGACCGGTACGAGACACACGGTCGCCGCGAGCCATTCTGCTAAAAAAAATGAGTGACCTTCCCATTCATTCCAAAAGTCCCAAACCGCTTTTGTTCTATCGACTCGACCGATCAAACAGCAGGAGGGTTGCTGGTTCCGGTCTGAGCCGAAGGTTATTGGTGAGTTGGCCTCGGTGGAGGGCATGGCATGAGGCGGGCTGCTGTGGGCGACCACGTTGAAAACTGAAAAAACAAAAAAAAATGCACAATCATCAATAAAACGCCTTTGGGCATACAACTGTGATTTGGAAGTCCCATTGCCACCATACACACAAACACACGCACACACCTCCTTCTCCTCCTCCTCCCATCACGAAACAGCAGTTGCGCATTTAAAATTATTACGATCTCTACACCAGAACAAGATGAAGCCTTCTATCGAGCTTCATGAATTGCATACGTTGTGTGATGAAGCATACGACTGTGGACCTGCGATGGAAAAGTACCTGAAGCTGGTCGCGCACATTGTCACTAAGGATAGGTACCTTTGGTTTATCGGAAGCGGAAACCGATACGCCTTTCCACCTAAGGCGGACTGGCGCTGGAAAAAATCATTTGGATGCGATGGCACCTGTGCCGTGGACTGGGCGGACGAGTTGTTCCTTGTGGCGTGTGCGCTTCTTGTGCGCTGGAACGCCACGACTTCGACAGGCGACCTGGATCGGATTGCATATCTTTCCAAACCTCTGTCGGTATGCCGTGAAATCTTTGGAAGACTGCTCTCCCAACCGTTCTTCTCAACCTTGGATACGCGGGCTTTCAGCTCGTCGGGTTTCCCATTTCACAAGACGGCCTCAAGCTTGTATTTTGCCACTCGTGTCATGCAGTGTGCTTCCGAGATTCTTCCAACGATGAGCCGCAAACAGAGCCTCAAGGTAGAGGGGGCCGAGCGAGTGGTTGGGATTTGGAAGGTGGCAAGCAAGGTTTTGTTTGCAGCCAGACTGAGCACGCCCGATATTCGCGACGGGCCACTTAACCTGGCCCAGAGCATGATAACTCCAGTTGCAATGCTGGAAGTTTCAAGCGCGCTCGCTATTGCCTCTCAACATGATCGTGCGAACCCCAGCGACGAGGACAAGCTTCATCACGATGAGTGGGCCACGTTGGTGTGAGACTCCGATTCCCACGGGTTTGGGTCCTAGAGCTATTGGCCAGGTAGCGTCAATTGATTGATACAAAATGCGCAATGCCCCCCTATCCAAAAGCTCTGCTTTCTGGCATAAAGCCTTTGAGCTCAGGCCAGAGCTCCAAACCCCTGCCTGCCGCGACGAGGCGCTCGCTCACCCGCTCTGGGACTCACCGGACATCCAGGACGACGGCAAGCCGCTCTGGTGGCCGAGCTGGATCCTCAACGGATACATGCGCGTCCGCGACCTGCGCCGCTTCATCGGTAACCCAGCTAGAGAAGAGTGGTCCCCGCTCTCACTCGTCAAGAGCTTCACCAACGCAAAGTACTACAACACGCTCCACGAGGCACTCGACCGGAGCCAGCTCTCGTCGCTCGTAGAGCAGGATAGCTCCACAATCTCGTCAGTGCAAGATCTACCGTGGTGCTGGGCTCAACCAGCTGACGACGACGCCAATCCCAAGCTCTTCAGAGTTGTCAAGCTCCGCACTGGCAGCCCGCTCACAAGCAGCTCACTCGGAGCCGGCCAAGTGTTCTACGAGTCGGAGAACGCCCTGATCGCACCTGCCCAGCCAGGCCTAGTCCTCACCAAGTTCCGCCTGGCAACCGCGCAACACGCCACCGTCGTCTACTGGCGTGCTCCCAACACCAAGCCTGAACCAAACAAACGGGGAAAGATTTTCCTCCCACGAAAGCAGCTGTACCATGTTGGCCGCACTCAACTCATGCCCCTCATCTGGAGCAACATCGTCCTCAACGGCGTTCACTCAAGCGTCCAGAAGCCCCTGCAAGTCACATCGCACAAGCTCAAACTGAAAACGCTAAGGCAGCTGCTCACTCCACGTCCCTCGAGACCAGACGCCCTCCAATGGTGGATCAACAAAGTTGGCTACGTGCCCTTCGAATCACTGGCCAGCTCCATCAGAACCAGTCTAGTCACATCCAAGCAAGCCTCCCTGCTCTGGCGCATTGCACACCGCACCAACCGACTGGGCGCCGACTGGCTGGAAACAGATGGTCAAGCGCTGCGCGCCGGCTCGCTCTCCCGCGAAGAGTACGACGACAGAATTGCCACTGGGCGCTACGACTGCGCGCACTGCAAACACGACGGCCGCTCGGCCAGAGAGACCTGGCACCACATCCTTGTCCGCTGCCACACAGCCCAAGCGGTTTGGGAAACCGCGAACGCCATCTTCCAGCACGCTCACTCAAGTTCCCTCCCAATGTTCGACAAAGCCCTCCTGTTCGGTCCCTTCCCCACCACGCTTGCGCGTAAAAAGGAAATGCGAGCGCTTGCCACGATCCTGTACCACCTCGGACGCTGGGCGATCTGGCGCACCCGCTGCGAAGCAAAAATCAACAACACATTCACACCCAGCCACACCACCTTCATCAAACTCGTCCACTCCCGCGCCCTGCAGGACATTGTGCCGCGAGCCCCGCCTGCTGACTCTCCCACGTCGAAGATGTGGGGAAAGTGCATTGTCAGGTCAGAAGAGAAGACCACCATTTCACTTCTACCCCCGAAACCCGGTGAGCATGAGCAAACCGAGTCACCAAGCGGCGCCCGTATGACCAGGACGCTAACACCAAACTTGCAACCGCAAGAATAAGTTAAACACGTTGCCCTTGTCACTTACTCCTTGCCCCTGATCATGATCCTCCTCTTTGTGGTTTTTGAGCCTTAGAAGCTGTTCCACTCTCCAATGAACGTAATACAAAAAAAAAAAAAATCCAAAAGCACCAGAATATGCTCGTCAGCAAAACCCAAAAATGCATTGGCTTCATTTTGTTTTTTCTCGATCTCGATTTCAAATGCCACCACACATTTTCGACTTTGCTCCCCATGAGCTTACCTCCTTGTTGGAGTCCCTCCTCTACAGCCCTACTTTCACCGGCTCGTATTCTCAGGTCGATAACTCGCCGGAAGGAGCAGCAGCGAAGCGACGCTTGTGCCATCGCATTCTGCTCAATCACGCACTGGGCTCGCCAACACTCATCAGTCTCGCCTTCCCAACCCTCCGCAGCTCCCAATTTCTCGATAAGTTCAGCGATTTGTCTATACAGAGATGCAAGAGCAGCCTGTGGACAGATCGCTTCGAGGTGCTGCGGGAGGTGTCGAAGAGCACTTTGATTCATCTTGACCTTTTGCACGATGACAGAGTCAAGGCGGTGCTGGAACCAACGGACCTGCGCGAAGCGTCCGAGACCGAACGTGCGAAGGCGGACACAAGCATCTTCAAGGTCGTCGTCACATTGCAGTCGCCAACGCACGAGTTTGTGGAATTCAAGCGGGAGGAAACCCTTGGCAGCGTGGGCCGCAACCGTTTGGTGCGTCAGTTCGGCTCGGAGCACTTTCTCGTCGTCCAGTTCGTATCGCCTTTCCTCTCGCTCAGCGACAAGTTGAATCGCGTCAATGCGCTCAAGTTGAATGAGGTTGAGCTTGCACTCGCTGTGCGTCAATACAACCTCTTTGCAGAGGACGAGGACCGGGTGGCATTGCCTCAGCACACCACACGCGAGGCGTTGCAGTCTGAGCGCCTGGGACGTTTCGATGCCTACACCAAGCGTCTCAAACTGCAATCTGGCAGCTTGCATGTTGCGGGGCGCGACTATCGCTTCCTCCTCACCACCACTGCTGGCGTACACAAACAAAAAATGATCTACACTGACTTGGATCGTGGCAAGGTGCTGCAATGGGCCTTCTCTGAACAGGCGTTCTGCGCGCTCAAGCCGACCGTCCTCAAGCTCTCTCTGCGCCTTGCTTTGCTCAACTCCATCTCGATCCCAACCGTCATATTTTCTGATGAAGAGCGCAAGATCGTCGACGACATCGTCGTGGCTGGAGCGGGTGACAAGCCGAAACCAGAGCATATCCTGACGGATGGTTGTGGCTGCATCACGCAAGCCAAAGCGAAAGCCATTTTCAAGACTTTCAAAGAACAGAACCGGCCGATGCGCGGCAAGGTCAGCAGGAACGTGCAGTACGAAAGCGATGGCTCGTACCAACACGAACTCCACGACGATGCTCTTGAATTGCCGGCATCCCTCCTTGAGGATAATTCCTTTGTGCCGAGTGCTTACCAAATTCGCTTCGGTGGTTTCAAAGGAATGCTTGTTGTGGTAACGGAAACAGTTCAAGAACAGCTGTGCAAGGGCATTTCTGCTGCAGCTCCTATGCCTTCAATGCTCCTTCCACGCTCGATGCTCAAATTTCAAACGCCTGACTTTCCGGAGCATCGACGTCTCGAAGTTTTGGGTTGTGCCTTCCCCTCCTCGCCAGTGACACTGAACAATGAGATCGTGGACATGCTCATTGGAGTCGCCACCGATTCTCTCGTCATGCGTGGTTTTCTGAAGCGACTGGTGACAACCTTCCTGGACGACTGCAATTTTTTGCTCGCAGATCAACAAAAGGCGCTGGCGTACTACTTGCAGGAGAAGGACGATATTGGCGTTCGCATGCTGGCTGCCGGGCATTCTCTCAAGTTCACCTACCTGACAAGCTTCTTCCGCTCAAAGTTGATCCCTCTTCACATCCCGCTCCCCTCCACTGCTCGCCTTTATGGCGTGGCCGATTGGTCTTCCTTGCTGCCGCCTGGTCACGTGTACGTGAATTCTGGCGAAACAGGGCTGGTGAGTGGTGACGTGGTGATGCTGAAGGAGCCGTGTTTCCTACGGACGGATATCCAACGGTTCAAGGCCATCGACCGCGATCATGTCGCATTCAAGCAGCTCTGCCATCTGCGCAATGTTGTTGTGTTCTCTACTGCCTCATCTTGCACCTCGTCTGACGCTAGCGCCATGGCGGGCTCCGACCTCGACGGGGACAAGTTTATTGTCTGCTGGGACCAGACCATCTTGGACAATGTCGATTGCCAAACAGCTCAGAAGGTGCAACAGGCCTCTGGCAACACGCCCGAACCGATGCCCCCTCAAACGGCGATGCCGTCAAGTTCGGAACAAGAGGATGCGGCTCAGAAGGCGCAACAGGCCTCTGGCAACACGCCCGAACCGATGCCCCCTCAAACGGCGATGCCGTCAAGTTCGGAACAAGAGAATGCGGATCCTTTTGTCGATGCCTCGGATGTGTGTGACAAAACGCTCGGCAAATGCTTCGACACTGCAATGCACTCGACAACACATTGCTCCTTGGCTGATCTCCTTCACCTGCGCATGTGCTACATTGATTCATTTGGTGACAAATGGTGCAACAACCAGACCGCAGCCCACCTCGGTCAACTGTTATCGCAGTGCGTGGATGCACCGAAGAACGACACATGGGTGCCAATAACTGAGGCACGCTCGCTGCTTGAACATCTGCCGCCGTACCCTCGTTACCATCGTCGCGCGCGCAAGGTTAACTCACGCGTCAGCAAGTCCATCCGAGGCACGCTCTTCGATGTCATCATTGAACATGTGGCGAAAATGACAGAGCTGAAACATGAAACGTGGCACGGCACGTTGCAAGACTCCGTGGACGTCATTCAGGCATTTCTTGCTGCGGAGCGTATTGATAGCGACGATCCGAATGACCAGCTGGAGATGGTTGTGAATCGATTGGCAGCCGAGGTGCATCAACGCAATGCTTTGATGGAGCATGTGGCGCTCTACTCGCTGTGTTGGAAGTTCATCAACCCGTTCTCGGCCCTACACCTGGTGAAACAAATGGGTTTATCCCAAGTTGTTTCCTCGAGCCTTTTGGAGGAACTCAAACAGCTACCGGACAGCGTGCAAAACATGGACAGTGTTCAAGTGATTGACAAGCGCCTCTGGACGCACAAAGTGCAAGGGGACATCGCGAAAACGATTCGCGAGTCGCCTTCCGGGCTGTTACTTTACTACTCAACAGAGGACATGTTTTTGCCCGGTTTCAAGAAATTGCGCTTGTGTCGCTCTTTCTGGCAGTTGGAACAGGACGTTATCATCACGCGCGTCGAGGAGATACTCGCGCTGAAGCCTGATGATGGGAGTACTGCTGTCAAACGCTTCCTCCACGCTTTCCGATCATTGCACGTCTTTACGCCAGAGTATCGCCTGCACAAGGCCGTCGGGCTCATCATGCGCCACGTTCTCGCTCCGCAGTCGAGTTGGATTGGCTCCAATAGTAACCAGCACTCACTTTGGAAGATGCCGAAACAATTCAACGGAAAGGATCAAGTGGATCGTTCCCAGAAGGCTGTTTTCACCCCGGACGTATTTGCCTGTATCCAGATCGACACCCTCAACCGTCTGATCGCGTTGTGTAGCAGGCGGCTCGAGAAAGATGGGTGGCAACGAAAGCGATCAAGAAACTCTATTGCGCCGTCCGATGAATTGCTCGACGAAGTCAACCAGTGCATCAAACACTTCAACAAGCACCCCCGCAACCTTGGCGACGCAGTCAATTTGAGCACTCTTTCTCGCACCGTCAACGTCTCACCCGCCGCGGCCATTCTCGCACTCATTTCAATCGGTCGGGGTGAACACTGGCTCTTCTACCCTGGCAAACCAAAAATCGACCCGTCTCCAGTGCGTTTGTGGCATGGAGCAGACATGGGAAGATTCTCGGAAATATGAAACTTTGCGTCCACCAAACTCTTTTGCATCGACGCACATCAGTAACTATGATTGTATTGAGTAGCGCGCCACACTCGATGGCTTTGTTCTTGTATTGTCAATGATTGTTGGAAAAATATAATTTTGCGTGAGATGCAGCCAGATAGACGCAGCTGATACCGCCCGTCGTCAGAACACACTCCAAATACACATCAATCCATAACATCTTGCTCGCAAACTTGTAACATGCTGACAGAATTAGCTCACAGCAGTTGGAACATGCAATTTTTTATTTGGTTTTCGGTATTTTTGAAGGACGGGAAAAAAACAACGACAAATACGTGCAACACAGCAACGCCGTACAACACAACAACACACAAAAACACTGAACGATAAGTGACCTAAAAAAGCTGGTCCACTTGAAAAACGATGACCCAAAGTCAGAAACATTCAAAAAGAAGCAAATGAAGAAACATCCGCACAAACAGCACATGGTCTGAAGTTGTCATCAAATAGGAACAACAAGACGCGAGCGCTTATCACATCGAGAAAAGCATCCCAGTGTCGTAACGGGTGAAAGAACTTCCAAGAAGCAAAGAAGTCGTTTCGCCCGCCACGTCACTGAGATGCTTGTCTCAGACGCGCGAATGAGTCCTCCAAAAGGTCAAAGGTCTCCAAGGGTAGATTGGTTAGGTAGATTCTTAAAAATCAAGCGACTAAAAGTCACTTGCGGAAAATAAACGTGGGGCAATCGGATAGAAACACCCGAAGGATTTCGTTGTAGATATCGACGGTCAGGGTCGGTCGATACAGGCGAGCAATTTTCGTGGCGAACTTGTCAAACTGGTAGAACTCGTCATGGGATCGAAAGGGCCCGAGAGGAGGGGACAGGTTGGGGTTGACGAAATACGGCTTCAAAGAACCATGCAGCCCTTCCAACACAGACTCGCATGTCTTGCGAGCATTTCGACTCTTTTGCATGTCCTCAAAGACTCGGGGATCCACCTTGGGGACGGACAGTGCTTGGATAGGAAAGCAAAGTATTTCACCAAGCATTTCTGCCACGGTATGGCGCTTGGCCTGTTTGGCAGACTGGTCTTCGTTCGTCAAAAGGGACCCAGCAGTGCCGACGTGATGGCGATCGCGGACGTAACGCATCTGCGCCCATGGAATAATGTATGGCCGAATGCGATCTTTGAAAAGGACACGCAGCTGCTTAGCTCGCTTCACGGGGTCCGAATCGGGAGTCACGCCAGCCCAACAAAGCAGCGAGTTCGCAAGCAAGACTGCACGAGCCAAGAGGGAGACAGCACCGCCATCATTAGAAGCAGGCAGTTCGGGAGGGGAGGGTTCGTCCTGGCGAACGCGCTTGGAGGCCTGAGCTTCTTCATCCGAGTCGTCGTGGGCGCGCTTGCCACGCTGGATGCTTGTCATGGGCTCAGGCGCGCAAGCCACCACAGGCGCCGGTGACACCAGCAACTCGGACTGGGACTCGGGCGACCAAGAAGAGAGCTCGGAGGAAGAGGAGACTGGAGAGAGGGACCCGCTGCTCTGCGTCGGCAACGTCGGCAAAGTCAAGTCGAGATTGCGAAGCGCGTCCAGGTCAAAGTTGTCCAGGTTGCTGAAGAACGCAAACTCCGAGTCGCCCAAGTTGGAAAGCAGGTCGTTAAGCTCGAGGCTCGACATTTGTGATGCAGAGTCACTCTCGGGACTAGACAAGCAGCAGTCCATGGGAACAGGTCTGACGAAGGGGAAGGGGAAAAAAAAAAAGTGAGCGATCGGGCGAAAACGCGGCAAACCTTTGGAGGTGAGGTCGCGCGCTCAACCACAGGATGACACTACGCGGTTGAGAGGAGAGCAACATTGTTCGCGAAGGGTGCGCTGAGGAGCTGAGCGAGAGGAAGGCGAGCAGAAGGAAGGAGAGCAGAAAGGAGAGCAGAAGGGTGATGATGAAATCACTTACAAAAAAATGATCTGTTCAGATTGTTTAAAAAAAAGACTGAGGAAAATCCAGGTTTGGACGAAGACAAAGAGTAGGATTCAATCAACGTGGCTCATAATTATTCGCTATCATGGATTCACTAATGAACATTCGTCATCGTCGCTGTTGTTTTTAGTTTCTTTTTTTTTTTTTTGTTCCGCTTTTCAGCTAAGGCGGGCCATGACGAAGCCAAGGGAGCGGGGGCGGGAGCGTGGGGACGAGTACGCAGACCAGTACGAGTGTAACATTGAGTGAGCGAGACGAGCAAGAGTGAAGGGGTAGACGAGCCTGAGCAAACGAGAGCAAGGCGAAAAGCATTGTGTTTTTGTTTTCTTTGTGAATCAATAACAAAAACCACAAACACCTCAGCCGTCGGCCGATTCAACAAACAGGCTATCGTCGGAGGGAGGCGAGATTGTGGAGCCGAATGAACTCGTTGCGGTTGGATCGGAGCGTCTTCATGGCCTTCCAGTGGAGTTGGGTGGCGCGCTCGCCGTCGCCGAGCTCGGTCGCAAGCTGAATCGCCTGCAGCCACACATCTAGCGATTTGTGTTTTTGTTTCACATCTAGTCGCCCCAACAAAAACACAACAGGAAAACAAATCAGCAAATTCGTTCGTGATGACGCTCCCAAACACAACAACTCAGCCACAACGCAGCCTCAACGCACCGTGATGATGGGCGCCGTGGACTCGACAGGCGCGGTCAAACAGCGACCACATGCGAGCAGCATCCAGCACTGGTCGCTCAAGCTCGAGCCGCAAGATGCATTGATAGACGTCAAAGTTGGCAGTCCAGCCGAGCTGGGTGAATAGGCTGTCTCAGACAAAAGCAATGAATTTCCCGTCAATCAACATTGTCTGAGCAACTTTGAAGGGGTGGCAGAGCTACGAAATCGCAGCGCTTACAAGTCGACAGCAGCATTCAAGATCAGCGGGTCGGATCGTGTGCCGCACCACCGAAGATAGGTGCAGGCGAGCTCGTTGCAGCCTGGTCGAGTCTTTCGCAGCGCGCTCTGCCAGAGGATTGAAAAGCATGAGCCATCATCATCATCATCATCACATGTAGCCCAACAACCGCCAAGCGCTCAATACCTGGAACACTTGAACAATGTCTGCCGTGCTGCCCTGGAGCGATTCCAATGCATCCACATGAAGCAGCGCCAGCTCGTTGGCATTCTTGTCACCAACACTCGACTCGGCGCGCTCAAAGAGACGCTTGACTTGGTCACTGGAAGCTGTACGAGCATTGACACCCATTAGGCAAAGATGAGCCCAAAAACACTGAACGCGATCAACTCCACTACCCAACTCGACTTACCACTTCGGTGGTGGCGGATGTAAAGCGATACATACTGCCGCCATGATGACACCTCTTGCGGGAACTTGACGGTCGCTTGCTCGAGCACGTGCAACGCTTCGGTGGCCTTGTCCAGAGCCAGGAGCACGGCTGCCCAAACCTCAAACAGCGCCGCAGAGGCAAAGCCACGCTCGACAGACGACGAGCAGAGCGTGAGCAGCACATTGAGCAGCACGTCGCGAGCCTCGCCAGTGGACATGGCAATCCGTTGGCGCAACAATTGGGCAAACAAAACACCGACCGCTGCTGGTGCCTCTGCCTTGGTCAGGCCATTCTCGAACGTGGCACAGGCGAGCTGCTCCTCGGGTGAAAGAGATGTGTATGCAGAGAGCACTGCGGGTGTGGCAGCACTCTTCCCACGTTGCTGGCCTTTGGCCGGGGTTGTGGAGGAAATGCCAGCAGACAAGAGTTGCCCAGGAACAGGAGCGAGGCCGTCGATGCAGCGCTGCGCCAAGACCGCCCATGTCTGCGGTGCATGCGGCAGATCGGCGAGTAGAGATGCGTGCACATCGTCAATACCATCGGCAACATTGTGAAATTTGCTGTAAATGTCGACAAACTCGAGTCGAAAGTCGATATCGTCCTTGATGGCCTTGACGGCGTTTGCGTACACAATCTTTGGGATGGTGTTGCTAGTAATGGAAGCAAGGGCATTGGGCGTGGCAGCCGACTTTGAGGTCGCAGCCGGCTTGGCGGCCAACGTGCGCTCCAACGCGCTGGCAGCATCCGTCTCTTCGTCGTCATCCTCTGCCATGGTGTCAAACGACATGAAGTCTTCGGAGGTGGTCATGGCAAGCCTCGGATCCTTCACCAGTGGTCCATCCGCTTGCTCTTCGGGAAGCTGCTCGAGCGCGACGCCTTCCTCGCCGTCGTTGTCGTCGATATCGAGCTCATCATCCTGCCCCTTTTGCTGTTGCTTGGATTTGCTGCTCTTCTTCTTGTTAGACGCAGACACGCTGCTTGGCTCCATCATGAGAATGGCCTGGCGCGCGCGAATCTTTTCGGCAAACAAGAGCTCGAGACGAAAGTACTCCCGCCAAAGCAGCTTGGACGCGTCGTTCATGCGCAACCCGCGCTGCAAGAGCACGCGCGCCGCAGTCACGTTCGAATTGTCGTCAAACTCGTGCTTGGCAGCCATGACCCAGAGTCGCTCTTGCTGCGGGTGCGAGCGGAGCGCCATGGCAATCGCCTTTCCCAGCAGCTTGCTGCTCGACGTCTTCCTGCAAAAGTCAAAGTACTCGAGCCACAGCTGCATGTCACTGCGGAACTTGCGCAGCGCCTTGTGGAAGATAAAGTGGACGCGACGCACAATGGCAAAGTCGCTTGGAGCGTTTGTTCGTGTGATGCCCAATCGAACCTTGCGTTGCTTTCTGTCCAATCCAAGTGTGATTGCCATTCCAGTGAGTGAAAAGGACTAGTGACGCTTTAGCAAACTCTACTCCCAGCGATGCGGGGCGGTGCGTGTTGCGCATCGAGTGGAGCAGCGAGCGAGCAACGACGGGACCATGTGGAACAAAGGTCAGTCCCCTGGGTCCATTGTTGCGACATCCCTTCCACGCACCGCCTTCAGCTCGGACCACTTGACTTCGACTTGTTGAGCACGGCGTCGCAACTTTGGTTTTTGGGAGGAGGGTGGGGATGGTGGGGGGTGGGTTGGTGTGTGACAAACCTGAGCTCCTCGAGGCCGAGCTCGAACGCAATGTAGCGCAGGTAGTCGACCTTCTGTGTGATGCGCCTGCGGAGTGCATATTCAAACTGGGTGCGCTTCTTGACGACCATCTTGACCTCGGCGGAGGTCAGCAGGCCCTTGCGCTCGAGGTCCTCCAGCTCGGGGACCATCTGCTCGAGCTGCTGCTGCACTGCTTCCGCCATGATTGAAGCAAAAGAAGGATGGTACTGGAGTAGAAATCAATAAGGACTGCAATAATAATAAAGTGTAGTGGGTAGGCTAGTTGATCATAGTGTACTGCGTGATTGAATGGCTCGGCTACAGTACATGCGTTCTCAGAATCTGAGCCTTTTTCAAGCCTTCCACTGGGATTTGTTCGCCCTTTGTCCTCACGTTCCAACCCGCCTTGTACTCACCTGATTTTAGATCTCCAGTCTTTTTATATTTCTGAGCTGTGTCTGAGCTGTTTTTCTGAGCAACGATGGCTTGGTTTAGCTCGGCCAACTTTACCGAGCTGGCCAAGACGGCCATATCGCAGGCGCAGAAGAGCATCGACCGCGCGCTCGACATTAAAGAGGAAGACACGCTGCCGTTGCCAGTGCTGGCTGCCCAGCGTGCTGCTGCTGCGAGTGCGGCGGCTCAGCAGGCAGCAGCGAACGCGCTCCTCAAGGATGGCGAGGGTGAAGCGGGTGAAGACGGCCTCGATGACGACGACGACGACCACCACCTCGCAGCACTCTTGCAGAATGGCAGTACGAGTCATGGCGATCGTCATGAGACGAACAGCGATGGGACGGGTGCCGTACCAGTGAGAACGGGCGCTGCTGCCGACGCGGCAACCAGCTCAGCGCGAGCGAGTCCAACTGCACAAGACACGGCTCCTGCGACGCTTGCTGCTATGACTACTGCTGCTGATGATGAGACTACTGGCACTGGGCTTGCAGCAGGCAGGCTGGCTCAGTCCGCAGCAGTAGACGCAGCGGCATCCTCGCTCGCGTCGAAGGCCAGCGTTTCGCCTACGCCGACGCCGAGCAGCACTTCCACTGCAGGCAATGCTGCTATTGCTGCTGGAACTACGTCACCAGAGCAGTCTGGCTGGTCATCGGGCGGATTCACAAACCCGTTCGCCTCGTTCAGTCTTGCTCCCAAAGCGACAGCGACCTCAAGTACCACAAGTAACTCGCTCGAATCTATGGCTCCACAAGCACCAGTCTCGTCATCAGCATTGCTGTCCAAGCCAGAAGAGCCTAAGGAAGGTGCTCCTCCAATTGCCACGTTCGAAGCGGACGTCTCAACGCTGCCAGAGTCGTCGACGGCCGCGCCGATCGCAATCCAAACAGCAGACATCACTACCGATGCAACAGCTGCCAACGAAGCGCACCCTACTGACGCTCCTCAGCTGACAGGCGAGGACGATTCACTGGGGAACACGACCGTATACACCTCCGCCAACACAACCGTCTCCGACCCTTCCTCTCAACCCGAAACGACGCGATTGCTACGCGTTATTAGTGAGCGGGAGCGCAAGCTTGTATCGTTATCCATCGAGCACACGCAACTGCTGGAAGCGCACGACCTGCTCAAGTCCGAGCACGACCAGGTTCGAAAAGAATTGGCCAGCGCAATGACCGCAGCTCCAAGCTCTGGGGGCTCGCGCAAAGAGGAGGAATTGCTTGCTGCCATTCGCGAAAAGGAAGTGCAAATATCGGAACTATTAGCCGAAGGTACGAGACCCATGATGGCTGCTTTTTGTGCTTGTGCTTTCACTTGAAAAACAGTCACTCACACTCGTTCTTGTCTTGTCTCTGTTGTTGGCAGGTGAAAAACTGTCCAAACGAGAGCTAGTTTTGAACACCAACATCAAAAAGCTGAATGCCAAGTGCAAGGCGGCGGAAACCGAAACCACCGCTGCCAAAGGGCAGGTGGCTGAATTAGAAAGCGTTCTCACCACGCTACGCACTCAAGTAGTGGAATTGCAACGCAAAGAAATTGATTATCAAGGTGAGCGAGTCATGTTGTCACGATCGCGGTGGTCCTTGTTTGGCGCAGAGCTCTGACCCGGTTTTTGCTCTCAATCCACAGATTCCCTCGCCAAGGTGAACACGCTGTCAGATGCGCAGGGCAAGGAGGCACATGCGCTGAGAAAGGACTTGGAGAAGGCGCGCGAAGAAAATGCCGGCATCAAGGCCACCCTGGATAAATCGTTCAAAGAGCTGACGGACTTGAGAAAGGCGAATGCTGCGTCTGCCAAAGCTGTGCAAGAAGCCAGTTTTACCGCCGAGATTAATGCCAAGGTTGGTGCTTGTTTTTGGTGTGTTTGTCTAGCTCGCAGATAGTTTTGGTTTTTGTTGCTGATTGCCAATATCTCACCTTGATAGGAGGAACTCAAGGCCCTGCTTGAGCGACAGCGGACGGAGTCTGCTACTGCATACGAAACCCTGCAACAGCAGATTGTAGACCTGCAGGCGTCGATTGTGCGCGGTGAGCAACAAGCCCAGCGAAAGGAAGACTCGCTGCGAAGAGAAATCGACGACTTGCACGATCAGCTTCGCGTCGCGGAAACGCGCAATCAGGAGCTCACCGACAGCGTGACTCAAGCAACACGGCCCCTCCTGCGCCAGATCGAGACCTTGCGAAATGCGCAATCGAGTCAATTGGCATCCTGGGAAGCCGTTGAGCAAACCCTTACAATGCGTTTGGATGAAGGTAAACCATCTTTCACGTAGTGTCGGCTCTCATTGTTCGCTTCGCTCATCCTCGTGACTCCTTTTTTTTTCGTTTGTCTGCCAATCTTGACAGTTCAACTCTTGCTGAGCCAAACATCCGAGCGCGAACGCCTCGCCAACGCAAAGGCGTCGGAACTCGCTCAGCAACTGGGCAACCTGGAGGCGCAGCTGTCGGCCGAGCGCCAAGCCCGATCCAAGGTGCAAGCCCAGCTGGACGTCTTGCGCGAGCGGCATGCCACGCTTGAGCTCGACGCGACCCGTGCAGAAGCTGCGTTGGACGCTGTGCGGACGTCTCAGCAAACCGAGCTCGAGTCCTTGCGAGCAGAGAAGGTGTCGCTTCGCCTGCAAATCACGACCATGGAGACGCGTGTTGACGCAGAGTCCAAGCGCGCCGACATGCTCAAGGAAGCGCTCGAGCGCAAGGAGCTGGAAGTCACCAAACTGTCGAGCGAAGCCGGCGCTGGACTGCACCACTCGTCTTCCAGCGTCTCCATCAATGGCATGGACACGGATGCTACCGGTGCAGCCAATGGACGCTCTGTGGATGCAGGCTGGGCGCGGACGCGCCGCAGCCAGCAGCACGGATCTGCCCCCGCGACTCCTGGTTTGCCCATGGCCAGCGCTGCTGCTGCTGCAGACTGGATTGCGGGCCTCAGCGCCACCGGCGCCTCGCCTCTCGTGATTGATCAGTTCAAATCCATCCTGCGCCAGCGCGACGGCGAGGTTGCTGGACTTCAGCGCCAGCTGGAAGGTCTGACGCGCACGCAGCAAGTGATGGCGGATCAGTTGGTGGAGATGCAGAGCTCGAATGACGAGCTCGCAACCCAGCTCTCGTCGCAAAGCCAGGCTGGCACTGCTTCGCACCAGGCATATCGCGAGCTCGAGCAGCGGTACAATGCGCTTCTTGTCCTGTACGGCGAACGGGCCGAAGAGGCGCAAGAGTTGAAACTCGATCTGCTGGACGTCAAATCCCTCTATCGCGCGCAAATACAAGAGCTCGTGGCTCGTATCGAGTCCTTGTCTGGGACTTCTCACAGTGGGGCACTCGGTGTGAGCGATGCTGGCGCTGCGCCGTGAAAGCAAAAAAAAAAAAAAAAAAAAAAAACGAAGAGTTTTTGTCAGTTTTGTGATTTGTTGTACTCTAATATATTCAGCTGCTGTTATTATTTTACGACAGTGATTCCACTCTCTTGTATGATTTCTGTCGTTGAGTGATGTGCAGCGGCCGGGGCGATGAAGAAAAAGCAGAGCGAGAAAAAAAAAAAAAAAAAAAAAGAGCAAAAAAAAATACGCGCGAACGGGAATTTGCATCCCGGCTGCCAACGTGGGAGGTTGGAGTCCTACTACTAGACCATTCAAAAATGTCAACGGGGCACAACGGTACTCGATTCAACGACGGAGGTCATGGATCTGGGAAACGAGATTGAGTGTTCTGGGTGCACTCAAGAGGTGCGAGATAATGTTCGCTTTGCTGAGGCATGTTCATTGGTGCGAGGGTGATGCACGAATTGGCTGAAATCACCACAAAACCAAATTGCCAGCTCGTCAACCTGCTTTGCGAGCCCTTCCGACCCCATTTCCATGGTGCCACAAGTTTGAAAATATTGATTTTTGATTCTTGGAGTGTCTGGACAGGTCCGGGGCGCGTGTACGGCTGGATTTGAAGAATCAGGGATTTGAGAATGATTGAACGGGTTGAAATCACTAGAGTGACGGTCTCTAAATCCGGATGGCGCCTCCTACGGCCTGTGTGCAAGCTTCCGCTCGCGCCTTGCCCCCCTGTGTCAATCAGTGCATCAATACCAATGTGTGGGTGAAGTAGCGGGGCGCTTTGGCCCGAACTCATCGCTAGGCACGCGAAAAACGAAAAAATGACGAAAAAGCGGATCCAGCCAAAATCCAATGCATCCGGATTAAAATGCAGGTGTTTTTGGGGCCGCCACGAGGTTGATCGCAAACGCGCCCTGCGGGCTCTGTGACATCGCCAGCCCGCCTTCCGCGAGCCAAATGCAGTCTACACACGATAGGTGTTATCGTGACCAAGCGGGCGCGGAGGTGCGGTCGACACGAGCGTGGGAATGGAGGATACGCTCGAACACCACTTTTGCAGCCAATCCATCGTGAGCTCCCGTCCGGCTGCTAATCGCTCTTCGAGCTAGATTGATGGAGTATATGACATATCAAACCATTTTATTCAATAAACAATACAAAAATCAGGCAGAGTTTACATTTAGTGCGACGAACGGCCGTCGGTGAGCATTTGTTGCTTGTTTGCTCAGGCGAATCACAAGAGATGGTGGATCTTCAACACGAGGACGCTTGTCAAGGTGCTCAGGCGTCGGGGCAGCATTAGAGGCTAGTTGAGTAGCGGAACTGCGCGTTGGGAGGCGACTTTGGCGCATGCGGGCCACTAGTTCATCGGTAAACTGCACTCCGTCGTATGAACCGTCGCTGTCGGACCTTTCAGAGAATGTTCGTTTTGCTGGTGTGATTGCGATCGTTTGCTGGGTCGTCAGGATGGGGAGCGACGGCGAGGGCAGGCTCTCAGTCGGATTTGCAGCAACAGGCTCTGCAGCCTGCGACAAAACTTGCTCTGATTGACGCAAAGCAATCTGTCGGGCACGAGCGGGAGTTTGAGTACGAGCAACAGGGGCTCGAGTACGTTTCGGAGTTGAAGCTTGAAGTGCGGCCAGCTCGTTGCGAGCTTGGGCGAGCTCTGCTTCGCGCAAAGGGTCTTGCAACTCGGCGGCGGCGGCGAGTTCAGTCTGCAGTGCACTGATTCTCCGTGTCAGAGCAAATTTTGCGTGCTCGGCGGCGGCCTCGGCAGCCATGGTACGTGACCGGTTCATCAATCGAGTCATCTCCTGCGCAATCTTCGTTTGTTCTTGCAGTTTTTTTGCGTTCGCCCGCTGCATTGCCTCCTCGGTAATCGCCAGATACGCGCCTTTCGTATGCTTGTGCTTGTAGGTAGTGCTGGTTTGAATTGCGAGGGAATAGGAAGCACGCTGCACGATATCGTCGACGGTGATGGGGACGCTCAGCAACTCGCGAAGTTTGCCAACGTGACTGAGTGCATCTCGTTCTAGTGTTAGGGATTGAGTTTGCCCTCCCAAAACCAACTGACCTAAAAAGGTACAATGTCAACTCGTCGAAGTTGACATGGGCAAATTGGTTAGATACCTAACATCTAGCGCCTCGGAACTGGGACCAGCTGCAAGTTCAACATCGGCATCGTCGAGGATTAGGCGAGCCTTCTTGAATATCAAACGCACCGGCGAAAGCGAGGGAGCAGGGTCTGGGACGCTGGCATACCCGCTCTCCACCGAGGGCAAAGGCGGTGTGGGGTGGGATATCTCGGCACTCTCGACGACGGGCAGCGTTGGAGTCGACAGGAGATTGGGGACGCTCGCCGTGTCTGTGGGCGTTGCAGAAACTGGCTGGACGGGCGCAGCCAAGGCCTCTTTTCCTATGAGTGATTCAGTTCTGCTCGCATGGTCCGGGCTCACCACCCACTCGCAGTATGCATTCTTGTCCAAAGGCCAGATTCCAGTCTTTTTAAATCCAGCAGTGATGACGGCTGTATTTTGCGAAATCTTGTACCACGCATTCAGAGCGCAATGCACTCGCATTTGGTCGTCCGAGGCAAAGACGCCAGCTGCAATCGCGCTCGCATACTCTGCTTGTAACTGACGCTTGAAGTAGCCAAACACAGTGCGATCGAGTGGCTGAGTCTCAGTGCTCGTGTGCGCGGGCAAGACAAGAATCTGAATTTGATCGTAGAAAAACTCGGCCACCAAATCGTGCTCGAGGCTGTGCGTGGATGAGCCATCCATGATCAAAAGCAGTGGGCCTGACGGGTGTCTTTCTCGCATGCAGCTTCGCCACTCGCGCAGATAAGTTTTGAACAAGTCTGAGGTCATGTACCCCTTCTCGGTCGTTGCGGTAGAGCAGGCGTCAATGGGAACGTGTTGGCAAACCGTCGCGACGTTCGTACCCTTCGTAAAAATCAGCATGGGAGGGAGCGGCGCAGTTCCATCGGCACACACCAAGAAGACGCCGGTGATGTGCCGTCCGAGGCTGTTGTTGTGCCCACCGCCAACGAGCGCGACACGACCCCACGATGCCCCTAATACAGTCGATCCCTTGACGCGAGAAGAAATCTCGCTCTCGTCAAAGTTGCTGACGCGGCTCGGCTCGACGGTAAGGAGAGGATGTTGATCGTAGGCCTGTTTGAGTTGAGTCGGGAGAGTCCCGAGATTGTCGGGTGTCAGCGCTGCAGCCCGGCACACTTCCAGCACACGGCCCTTTCGAAGCCTGACGCGTCCCTTCGCTCGCTTCAAAAAGGTGGCCCACCAGGACCGGCTAGGCGTGTCTTGGACAAACGCCCGCCTTGGTGAGCCGTCGAAAGAAGTTGTTTCAGAACACGGTTTCAAGTACTTGGCGGCCTGCGCTTTCGTCAGACAGCATGACGCGCGAGCAAACGCTTCCAATAAATTGATAATTGCATCAACTTCGTGATCGGTAAAGATGGGTGGTCGGCCTTTCGTGCGGGTGGACCGCGCCAGCTCGATCACTTCATCCAGCGTTCCAGACTGAATCAGTTCGCGGTGGCCCGCGTGGAGTTGAGCCCAGTCACTGACAGTCGACTTTCCGCACTTGAAGCCAGCCTGCCCCAGCCGCGCGGCGACCTGTTCACATGTCCATTGAAATGGTGTTGTCGTACAACCAGTCGAGAGGGTCAGCGGACCCGGGGTTAGCAGCTTGAGGGCGATGGCGATGGCGATCGGTCGTCGGTTTTTTCCAGCCGCCTCGGCGAGTCGCCCAAACCACCCCGCGACGATCGCAGCCACCTCAACAAGACACTCCATGTGATAACCAACTCGATTTATGTACAATGGTGAAAGAGCCGAGGCGAAGCGATGAATAGACTGCGAGAAAAACGCCTCATCCGGATTAAAATGCAACTCTCGAGGTCTGTAATGCGTCCGGATTTAGAGACAGTTATCACTACCTCGCCGAGCGCTTGAACTTTGTGACTGACTTCCGAAAATACGAACCTAACCCTCGAACACCAAAATGACGCTCGTAGGTGGTTGGCAATCGCTATAACAATATATTAATGCTTGACATCTTCGTATTAATCTGGCTGGTCAAACAGGACAAGCGATGCAATTCCGCCAGAAACAGCCAAATCTCTGACGACTTGGGAAGCATTCACTCGACGGTACTTGTCACGAATGCAATAAAAAATAATATTTACTCATGATTGTGACCATCGGCGGATCCAAGTGAGGTGTATTACAGCTGCTGAGCTTCATCAAACTGACCAATTTGAACGCCGACGGTCGATCGGTCGTTCAAAACGAGTCATTGCTCACCGCCGTGCCTGCGGTCTTGATTTTTCCCACAACATACTTGCTGTGATGTCAGTTCACAATCCAGAGGTATAACGCGCCGACTGCCAGGTCATGCCAGCTCAAATCCCAGCTCATGGCATTTCGTCATGCGCTCAGCGTGATTTATAAAGCGGTCGCTTCCGGCTCTTCTCAGTCTTCATTCAAAAGACAGCTGATTCTGAGCATTGTTTGCGCTCTTTCTGATGCTTGAGCTTGTGCCCGAAACCAACCCTGTGCCAATCGAAATGGTAAAATGCGAAAACTGACAAGTTTTCCAGTCTACTTTTTTTTTTTTTTGTTGGGTTTTATTGTTCAATCCATGAGCGACGCTGCCCCCGTTGAAGACGCTGCCGGCCCCTCGAAGAAGGCGCTGAAGAAGCAGCAGAAGGAAGCCGAGAAGGCCTCCCGCAAGGCCGATGCTGCCCAGAAGCAGGTGCGGCACTACTCTCCCAATGGACTCTCAATGGACTCTCAATAGGCGCACATGCGTTTTTTTGATTTTGTCTGTGTCGTCCATTGCTCTCGTTCGTGTGCTTTCCTCCCCGCCCATACTTGTCCGTCTGCGTTGTTTGTGAGAACTGTTCGCTCGAGTCGCAGCAGTTCTCCAACATTGACGACTGGACTGTTCCATTCGCCTCTGCTTTTCATCCTTCAATGATTGAGAACGAGTTTTTTTTTTTTTTTTTCGGATCTCTGCTTTTTTTTTTTTTGTCTTCCTTCTTCTTGCTTTTTGCTTTGTGACACTCACTTTTTTTGTCATGCCAATTTCACGATGAATGTCAAAAATCACAATTGACAACATAACAAACGCGATGATCGATTGGAACAAAAAACGCCAGGCGGACGAAGCCAAGAACGAAGTTGTACGTTTGTGCACTTTTAGCACTTTGTATGTGTGTGCCCAGCATTGGCTCACTCCATTCCATCCATCCACCATCACATCAACCCAAAACTACAACACACACACGCACAAACAGGACGTCTCGGCCGGCTTGTACGGCGTCGAGCCGATCAACCAGTCGCAGACCAAGACCAACCGCGTGTGGACGCGCATTGACGAGCTGTCGGCTGCCAAGCACACTGGCAAGACTGTGCTGCTGCGTGCTCGCGTGCACAACACGCGCGGCACTGGCAAGCAGGCATTCTTGGTGCTGCGACAGCGCTTTGTCACACTGCAGGGCGTCATTTTCGTCGGCCCCGCCGTCTCCAAGCAGATGGTCAAGTTTGTCGCCTCGCTCTCCAAGGAGTCGTTCGTCGACGTCGAGGGCACCATTGTCGGCGTCCCGACGCCCATCGAGAGCTGCACACTTCACGACATTGAGCTGCACGTCACCAAGATCTTCACCGTCTCGTCCGCCATGCCGCGCCTGCCCTTCTCGCTCGACGACGCCACCAACGTTGAGCCGCTGGAAGGCGTCGAGACGACCAACAGCAACAGCGAGCCCGAGGACAACCTCATCCGCGTCGGCCTCGACACTCGTCTTGACAACCGCGTGATTGATCTTCGCACGACCACCAACCAGGCCATCTACCGTCTGCAGTCGGCCGTGTGCTTGCTCTTCCGCGAGTTCCTCACCTCGCAGAACTTTATCGAAATCCACTCGCCCAAGATCATTGGCACGGCCTCGGAGAGCGGTGCCAACGTTTTCGCCGTCACCTACTTTAAGCAGCAGGCCTACCTCGCCCAATCGCCCCAGTTCTACAAGCAGATGGCAATGTGCGCCGACTTTGAGCGTGTCTTTGAGATTGCGCCCGTCTTCCGTGCCGAGGACTCCAACACGCACCGTCACTTGACCGAGTTTGTCGGTCTCGATCTCGAGATGGCCTTCTACGAGCACTACCACGAGGTTCTCGACATGCTCGATAAGCTGTTTGTCTTTATCTTCAAGGGCCTGCGTGACCGCTACGCCAACGAGATCAAGGCTGTCCAACGACAGTTCCCTGTGCCCGAGTTCAAGTTCCTCGAGCCCTCGCTGCGCATCACCTTCAAGGAGGGTGTTGCCATGCTGCGCGAAGCCGGCATTGAGATGGACGACTATGATGATTTGAGGTAACGAGAGCTGCCATGTTTTTGTTTTTTGGAATTGAGGTGGAGGTTGTCCTGACTTTCCCTTCCATTCCCAACCCCTCTCTCCCTCTCACCCACACCCTCTCCCTCTCGCATCACCACAGCACTGCCAACGAAAAGCTGCTCGGCAAGCTCATCAAGGCCAAGTATGACACTGATTTTTACATGCTCGACAAGTTCCCCACTGCCGTTCGACCCTTCTACACCATGCCCGACCCCAGCGACCCCAACTACTCTAACTCGTACGATCTTTTCATGCGCGGCGAGGAGATTCTGTCGGGCGCCCAGCGTGTGCACGACCCCGTGCTGCTCGAGGAGCGTGCCAAGGAGAAGCACATTGAGATTTCGTCAATCCAACCGTACGTCGATGCCTTCAAGTATGGCGCCCCTCCGCACGGTGGTGGTGGCATTGGTACGTTATTTTTGTGCAATGGCTCTGGCTGATTGGATGTGTGTGTGTGTGTTTTTTTTTTTTCCCCACACCATGTTGTTTCCCTTCTCCACTTCTTCCTCACCTTTTCTTGCTTTGCCTTGCCCTTCTCACAGGTCTCGAGCGTGTGCTTATGCTCTACCTCGGCCTCGGAAACATTCGTCGCACGTCCATGTTCCCTCGCGACCCCAAGCGTGTTGCGCCCTAAAGATTTGGTTGTTGTCCATTCCACAACTTTTTGTTTTGCTCGTGCGAGACTATCATGTTGCTTCAAATACAGTGTTTCAATCAAGTTTTATTAAGATTTTGTTTGATTTGGTGGTTCTTCTTGCATTACGGGATATCGCATAATTTCCAGTCGCCGAAATCTGCCACCAGTACCACACGTTCAATTTCTCAATTCAAACAGTCGTCTGTTCCTGTTAAACGGTCGCATCCTCTTTCGGGAGAGAGGTCATTCTCTCCCTTGTGCAAGTCTCAAAATTTGCAAAACGAATCACAACCAACTTGCGGTTGTCTCAGCTCCCCGCGCCAAAACTTGAAAAAAAAAATATCTCAACCTCGCCAAAATGTCCAACTCGACCCCCGAAACTGCTACACAATGCAGGACTTATGAATTTGTGGCCTTCGAGCGTCCGAAATATCCGAGCCAGAGCAGCCGACCGTGGTCGGACGGGTCGCAAACAAACCCCACTGCTGCGAGAGTGTTTCCTCAAGTTCATTACCCTCGTTTTGAAGACCAACACGCAGCGACGAGCTCTTCGCATGACGGTTTGCATCAGCAACAAATGAACTGGGTGCTAGTCCCATCGATGCGGCAAAACTCAGTCTCAACGCCGTACTTGTCCGCCGAGGCGTCGCAGCCGTCGCAGCCGTCGCAGTTGTCTCAGCCAATGCCTATGGTTGGTTGCTCTCCTCATCCGCCTGCTGGGCTCGTGTACTACCCGCACCCGATGGCGTACCACGAGTATGCACAGTACTACATGCGCATGCAGCCGTGCTACATGGCGATGCCCCACGGTGGGGTACCAGCTGCTGCTCCCGAAGGAGATGCGCGCGCGCATCAACAAGACCCGAGTATTTTGGCGACGGCAGCAACCGATGCCCAATCAGCTCCCGGAAACAACCAGCCACCGCGCAGCATTGTTGGCACCAATGGAGCATCTTCCATGTTGACGTCGTTCGGCTCAAAGCTGCCCCCGATGGGAGAGCGATTCGCTTCGACCACAATTCAGCCTCCTCAAGCCCGGTTGGCAGCCAGCAGCCACGTCCATGATCAAGAAAACAAGCCGGCATTCACGCGCTCTGCTGTTGCTGGAAACGAACGTACGTTGCGCCGGAATTTCGAATGTAGCTCGAGCAATGGCATCACTCCTGTTTCAAAGCCACTCACTCAAGTCGAGGCTGGAAAGCGCATTGTCGTCCGCGCTCATCGCACGACGGTGCACCACGTCCCAGCTCCGCCGCCGCGGGATGTAGAGCCAGTGTCAGGACCAGATTCAAAGGCAGCCCTCGATCCGCCAGTCGAAGAGGGTCTCGAAGCTCCCCTCCAGCATGAATGGACAGACTCTGATCAAGCAACGAAAATTGCGAGATCTGGACAGGTCGAGCCGACGGAACAGACAGAACAGACGGAACAGGCCCAGCCACCAGTGCAGACCGAGCGGCAAATCACGCGAGCGGATGGTGCGGCTGTCGACTTTGATCTTGCTCGAATCACCGCCTCCTACATTACGCAGCACGACGGCAAGTGCCCATTTTGTGACATTGTCGTGTTGAGTACTCGGGGGCTGCGGCGCCACGTTAGCACCATGCATTGCATTGAAAGCAAGCCATACGCGTGCGCTGATTGCGCCGGGGTTTTCCGTAGTTCGTCGGCCCTTAAAACTCACAACAATGCCGTCCATGTTACAAAGCGCTTCAAGTGCCCGTCGTGCACCTACGTGTCCAACAAGCGCAGCAATTTGACCACACACATTGCCGCCATTCATACCTTGGTGCGCCACCACTGTCAGCAGTGCGACAAGTGCTTCTCGTTCCCTGGGGATCTGTCGCAGCACGTCAAACGGACGCACAACCAGATCGGCTACTCGTGTACCCTATGCGCACGGCTGTACAAGACGCCGTCTGATCTGGCCAAGCATGTCGACCGCGTCCACCATCGAGTCATTCATCGGTGCACGTACTGCAGCCTGGTGTGCGTGACGCAGATTCAGCTCCACCAGCACCATTACGACGCGCACAACCTCACGCGCCACCACTGCCAGTACTGCATGGCAAGCTACCAAGAGCGCACTGGCCTCGAGCGGCACATGCGTTCAGCCCACACGAGCGAGATCAGCAACGACGAGAGCGTCGAACGAAACGCCTCCTGAGCCGCCAAAGTCTGACAGCGACTCCTTGGAAGACAGTGATCTTCCAACAAAGAGAGAATAGAATGTGAATGAACAGGTAAAGCTGGGCGGAGACTGTCGAAAGACGCAGTTGTAGAGTCTGGAAGGAAAAAAAACAAAAACAAAAGAAAAAAGAAAAAAAACGAGAGGAAAAAAACAAAAAGTGAATGAGCTGCTCCCAAATGAACTTGTTTCAATAATAACACGAGTCGTATTGCAAGAAATATCCATACAATTGTTGTTGAACAAAGTGGAGGACAAATGAAACACGCAGATACACAAAAACCAAGTATGGAAGAGACAGAGAGAGTAAGAGCCGTAAAAGGCAAAAGCCAACCGCGAACCAAACATATTCAACCTTGAGCATGACAGCCGTGATCACTGTCTATGACAGAGCGGGGACGGGTGCAGATCTCAGTCGAATGAAATGAGCTCCTGGGTGTCGGGAGCTCGCGGAGGAGCCGCAAACTGCTGAGGAGGAGCGCCATAGCCTTGTTGTTGCTGGTGGACAGGGCTGCCATAGTTTGCAAACTGCTGGTGTTGCTGCGGCGGGTAGCCAGCGCCAAACTGCTGACCAGTGGGAGCAGGGCGGGGGCTGCCCTGAGCTGGCATCTGCTGTTGTTGCGGCTGCTGCTGTTGCGGAGCAGCTTTAAACTGGCCGTTCTGCGCAAACTGCATTGGGGGTTGCTGCTGCTGTGGCTGCTGCTGTGGCTGGAAAGACTGCTGCTGCGGGGGCTGCTGCTGTTGCTGAGGATGTTGCTGGGGCTGGGCCTGGGGCTGTTGCTGTTGCGGCTGGGGGACGGCTGCATACGGAAACTGGCTAGCACCAGCGCCACCGTGCTGCGGAAGCAACGGCTGCGGAAGAGGGCCGGAAGGGCCCGCCACATACACGCCAGTCGTCTGCGACGGGAGCGAGGCAGGGATCTGTAGCTGTGGCTGCATGGAATGTTGTTGTTGTTGTTGAGGCGGCTGCTGTTGCTGCGGCTGCTGCTGCTGGTGCTGCTGCTGGGGCGGAGCGTGTTGGAACGGAATGCCGTTCTGCGGAGGATAGCCACCCTGCGAGGGCGCAAATCCCATGGACGGGTGCGGCTGAGGCGCAACAAAAGCACCAGGGGCTGCTGCCATCATGCCGACACCTTGCTGCGGGACTTGCTGCTGGTGGTGGCCATGCTGCTGCTGCCAGGCAAGCTGCTGGTTTTGTTGCTGAACAAGGTAAGCTTGGTGCAGCATTTGCTGGTGATGCTGCTTCTCTTGCTCTTGCTGCTGCAACAGACGAAGCTTTTGCTCGAGCTGCATGCGCAGCAGCATCTCCTGCTCTTCCTGCTGCTGCTTGAGCTTGACCTGGTGCTGGCGACGGATTTCATCAAGTGTCTTCTTGGCTTCTTGCACCTTGTCCAGGTCTTGTTCCACCGCGGTGAACTCGCGACGGAGCTCTTCGTTCTCTTCGATGCGCTTCATCAGGCGCGGGTGCATCACGCTCAGCGTCTGGAAGAGGGACTTGACCGACGCGTCCTGGTTGAGCGGCACGCCCTTCATGGCAGCTTGCTGGAGCTTCTCTTCAAAGAGCGTCAGGCTGGCCTTCATGGTTTCCAAAATCTCACGGTTGCCAGCATCGTATGCGCCCGCGTTGTTGGCGGCTGTGGGGACGGTTTCGGTGGACGGAACATGGGTCACGGCAGGGGACGCGGATGCCTGCACTGCGGGCGTAGACTGGGGGACGACAGGAACAGCCGACGACGACGACGACGCCGAGGCCGTCGACGAAGAGCTGGACAGGACGGCGGACGGTGCGGGGGCTGGAGGCTTGCTGGCGCTGGCGCTGGGCGCTGGAGGCGTTGCGGTCGCCAGAGAGGCATTGCGTTGCTCCCACTGGGGGCGGTTGAGGTAGCGCTGCATGACAGGATCGACATCGTCCAAGCTGCCAGACGAGTACGACGAGCTCTGGTACCCAGATGCGGGCGGGGCGCTCGATGTGACTGGCGCAGATGGATAGACACTGGAGGGATACGCGCGAGGCGGCGATGAGCTTTGGTAGTTGCTGCGCGAGGACGCTGATGTACCACGGGTGCTCTGCTCGACAAGCGACAGGGCAACCGCTTGTGCAAACTCCTCCTCTTCCTGCTCCAATCGACGGCGCTCGTCCTCTGCCGAAGGCCCTCGCGATGCGGTCGTGGCGGTAGCAACGTCACCGCCAGTGCCCGAACGGCCACGCGTGGTGGTCGTCATGGACGCGGTCGCGGGTGGCGGAGCAAGGGTCGGATTGAGCTCGGCAAAGCAGCGATCGCACACGCGCTCGGCCTTTTCAATGCCAAACTTGAGAATGGGCGAGACCTTGGACGAGCACGAGCCGCAAAACGCATTGCCACAGCAGCGACAGTGGTGTCGGCGATTGAACGCCGTGTACGACGTCCGGCAGGCCGAGCAGTCTTGCGCGTCAACCCAGTCAGGCTCTCGCTCCTTGTGAATCAACATGGCCGCATCCGCCACAGCACCGCTGGTGGTGGGGAAGATCACCATGCCTTCGTTCTTCAGCGTCTGCCAAGTGGAGCAAACGATCGCGTACTGCGGCACGTCCTTGAAGCCGATCGCCCATAGTTGGAGAAGCTCTGCTCCGCGAGCGCGCACTTCGGCGTATCGCTCGTCCTGAAGCAGGGGTTAAGAAGCAAGATGATGAGGATGGTTAGAAATGCAACGTTTTTTGTTTTGTTGGAGGTTCAAACAGCATTGCGTTTGCCTTTCGCCCTACCTTGAGCCAGCCCTGATAGAACAGCATGAACGTCTTGCTCGCCAACTGGTCTTGGAAGCGGGTGTTGCAATTCTTGACCATCGTGTCCAAAACCTGCGATTTTATGTGGTGAGTACAAACTGTCAAAGCCTCCAATCACTCACTCGCTCAAAATGGTCCACCAAGAGGGAAGGGGGGGGTGTTTTTGAAGAACTCACGTTCAGCGTGTACATGCGTGTATTGGCCAGCTGGTGTGTCAGGCGACGTTGGAAGCTCTTGATGGCGACCTTGGGACTGCACAAGCAGACGTCCAAAAAGTGAGTGAAACAGACAACACGCACCAAACGCACCAACGACCAACGCTCTCCAAGCCACGATGATGAGGCCATAGCACCTGGCTTTCGTTTTTTGAAACTGTCGACTCGGAACACTCGGTAACGTTTTCGGTCACAGCTGGCGTCAACCAGCGCCGTATTCGAACGACAAGCGCGTCAGCACTTTTTTTTTTTTTTTTTTTTTTTTTTTGCTTTTTGGCTTTTTGGCTTTTTTAGTTGTGCGGCCAAACTCTTGAGACTTACGCGACTTCTTCTGAGCGCACTTGATCACAGAGCATCAACGCGATGCCCAGGTCGAACTCGGAGCGAGCGGCGTCCGTCGCTTGGTCTGCCACAACAGAAGAGCATCAAGGTGAGTAAGAATCCAAAAAAAAAAAAAAAAGAATAGAGAAGGGGAAGCAGCGAAACGATTGGGAAGGCTCGAAGTCACTCCGAGGACTTGATCAGCGAAATCATGATATCAAACGCATCATCGTGACGGCTGATACAAGATTTGCGGACGGTGGGGGCAGCGAGCCAATGTTCAAACAGCACAGCCAAAGAAAAAAAAAGAAAAAAAAAAGCTTAAATGTTCGACAGTGTTCGTTCGATTCAGCGTCAGAGGCGCGTGTTCCATTCAGCAAGGATGAAGCAGAGAGCAGTTGATGCATGTCGCTTGGAGCGTTGCGACGGACGAGGGTTTGGTCGTGTTGAGCGGAGGAAAAAAGAAGCTCAATGAAAAAGAAGAATCGGGGAAAAACGAAAAAAAAAAGAAAAAAAAAAAGGTCAGGTTTTTACCTAAAAGTCTGTCAAAGTTGCCCATTTGTATGAACAGAAAGAACAAAGAGTGAGGATGGACATCTTTTGGATTTGTCAGACAACAGGATAATAAGCAGGACACAACAACAAACAATAACAAACAACAAACAACAAACAACAGATCAAACCGACAAACTGAAACCACAAAAAGAAGCAAAACAAAAAAAAAAACCGAACGATCGTTTTCTACGACCTGTGCTCCTCTTAGTCTTGTTAGAGGGCCTTGACATAGGCAGCAACAACCTGGCCGGAACGGCCGTTGAGCTCCCCTTGCCACCAGTCGGGATTGTCAGAGTGCGTGATGAGAATAATGTCGTCCACGTTGAACGACAACTCTTCGTCGTCATCGGCCTCGTTGTCGTAGAGAGCAATGGCCTCGAATGTGCCCGGGGGCAGCTTGGACCTTCGGAGATCTGGGATGGATTCGGTGGAGGGAAGGGCGATGGAGGCACGAATAAGTCCGGCGGCTTGGAGGGCGGAAATGTCGACAGGGGCCGAGTCGGTGGGAGGCACGGGCGGCTGCTTTTGTGGCACACGAGGCATCGAAGGCACGTTTGCGGGAGTCATGGGCGAGGTCTGGGTGCTGGGGGCAGCTGGTGGGGGCGGCAGCTTCCGGAATGCATTGATCGAGGGCGAGGCTGGGGCGGTGACGCCGGGTGGCAACGGCGCAGCCTTGCGCGGGGTTGGTATTGGTGCGGCAGCGGCGGCGGCGGCGGCGGCCGCGGCGGTTTGGCCGATAGGCAACGCAACCTCATAGTTGGAGTCGTCTTCGGCGACAATCTCAAAGTAGTCCTCTGTCGGTGCCGGGGCTGGCTTGCGCTCGGGAATAACGTCATAAGTCGGGGCTTCGACCAAGTTGTCAGATGACTCGGATCGGGAGGAGGTGGCACTGCGCGAAAAGTCTTGCATGGCCTGGCGCTGAGGGGGCAGCGGCGGGGGAGAGTCGACATCATCGTCGCTGCTCTGCTCTTCGACCGCCTCCTCGCCGCTCAGCAGTTCCGCGTCAAACGTCTCGTACACGTCGTCGGCGACGGCAGGTGCTTCGTTGGTTGCGGCAAGGAGATCATTTGTAGAGCCGCTCTTGCTGGCGGGCCCAGAGCTAAAGGTGGGTCGCCCAGACGAGTACACGACAGCACGCGGCGCAGAGTCGTCCACTTGCATTTTGACAGCAAGGCTGAGTGCCGCCATCCACTGTTCTTGCGACTCTTGGTCGTCTGCGCAGAAATAGTACGTGCGCATGTTGTTGTGGAACACCTTGAACGCCCACCGCTTGTTGATGCCGAGCTCTGGGGCGAGGCCGATATTGTAGCTGGGGAGCACAATCTTGCCCATGGCCTCCTCTGCGTTTTGTGTCTTGTAGTAGTAGAGGCAAAAGTCCTTGAGCACACACCAGCGCTTCTTCCAGTTCTTGACGCTGTCACCGCGCTTGGTCAGGAAGCCGCAGAATTGTGGCTCGAGCAGAGTGTTCGCAGCAACATTGACCTTGGGCTTGCGTATGCTGCCAAGGTTGACGCGCAGCGGCTTGCGAGGCTTTGGTACGTTTCCACTCGAGACACTGCCATACGAGCCCGAAGAGCCCTCGCCGGTCGGAGGCGGCGATGACGCGATCGGAACTGCGGTGAACGGGGCGGGCGCCGGCGATACTGGGGACACGACGGGTCGCTGCACCTTTGGCATGCCGCCAGGGAGGAGAATCGGCAACGCTTCGGGAATGGCAACGTCCGGGAGAGGCTCTTCTTCATCCGTCAGAGCAGCGGTGTTTCCTGCCTTGACTTGCGCATGCCGCCATTCAGGAAGGTTGGCCGCCGAGGTGACTTCAACGTAATTGGTGGTGCCTGCGGCGTCCTCCTCCGGTTCGGCAGTGTTCTTGCGTCGCAACAGCTCGCCTGCGCCAGGCATGGCAATGCCAAAGCGCGACGGGGCCTTTTTGGCGGGTGTGGGTGTGGGTGCGGGTGTGGGTGTGGGCGTGGCTGCGGGTGTAGCTGCGGCAGCCTCTTCGGCGGCAGGGCTTTTGGATTCTGCGGGTTCAGTGTTGCCCAGGGTGTGCTTGCGCGGTGGCTTGGGCACTGGATTGACGTTGGCACCCGTTTCAGTGTCGGATGTCTCGGGCAGCTCGGGTTGCTCGGGGAGACTGGGTGCGGCAGCGGCGGCGGCGGCGACAACGGCTTCTTGCGCTGCCTGTGCCAGGCCGGCCATTGCGGCTCGCCCCGCAGCCACGCCAAGAGACGCAGTCTTGGCTGCGCTGGGCTTTGGCAGCACGGCTGGCCGCAATGCGGGCTTGTCGGCAGCAGAGACGGTACCGCGCGGGGGCGGCACTTCCGGCGGCGTGGCGGACGCCGTCAGAGAAGGGGAAGGGGGAGCGGAACCCCCGGTCGACAATGACGTCGAGGGCGACTTGGCGCGCACCGGCGGGGGTGTAGGGGTTGCCGGGTGCTCCGAGGCAATCGGCGGGGTCGAGGCGGAAGAAGCGCTCGAAGCAGAAGCGGCGGCGGCAGCGGCAGTGGCGGCGGCGGCGGTCGCAGCAGGTCCAACACTGACACTTGGCTTTCGAGCAGCAGTTCCGTGCTCATGGGCATGCGGGATGGCGTAGACGTGCGATGCGCGGACGGGGTTGGCGCCGGTAGCGTCAGCTGCAGCAGCCGTCGTTGCAACTGCATTCGCATCGTTCGCGCCTGCTGCTGGAGCAGACGCACTAGTACCGATTGTAGCAGCAGCAGCAGCAGCAGGAGTGGCAGCAGGAGTGGCAGCAGGGGCGGGCTTTGCAGCCTCCTTGGCCTCTGCGATGCGCTTGAGCACCTTGACGCGCTTGCCCACCGAGGTCATTCCGAGCTCCTTCAGGTACGAGTCTGTCAGGTCTGCGAGCACGTCGCCATCGATGTCATTCTCTGTTGATTCACAAACAAACAAGCAAAACAAAACAAAACAAAAAGTGACACACAAAAAAACAATGTAAAACAATTGCAAAGTGACACAAAAAAAAAAAAAAAAAAAAAAAAAAAAAAAAAAAAAAAAAAAAAAAAGCAAAGCTTTCTTCAATAAGAAAAAAAAAAAAATCATTTTTTGTGTTTTTTGGCTGAAGTTTTGATCTTTTTGTTTTTTTTTTTTTTTTGTATGGGAATTGCATTGATTTTTTATCAATTTTTTTGATTTTTTCGATTTTTTGTGTTTGCTGTTTTTGATTGAATGCTGCAGAAGAAGTTGAACGAAAAAACGAGCGCGAGTTTGGAGAAGAAACAAGAGTTGAAAGCGAAGGGAAGACGGGTGGAAGGGTGGAAGGGTGGAAGGGCGAAGGGTGGAAGGGGAAGAGAGAGAGGGGGAGTGTGGGTCAGCTGCGAGACAGAGCGACCAATGAACAGCGGTGAGGAGACGACGGAGGAGGAGGAGGGAGGAGGACAAAAGCGAGCGAAGGGGCAGGTTTGAATGGAGCATTGTGAGAGTGAATGAGAGCGAGAAGAGAGGAAGCGAGGAAGAGCGAGAGAGGAGGACGAGAACATTGAAACCGAGCATTGAACAACGACCGACCTCGAAACGTCTCAACGAGATCATCGAGACCGACACTGCGCAGCCACGTGCCGACCTCAGCAACGCCCCACGACTCCATCTTTGGTGAATAGAAAAAGAAACAAAAGCGGGCGCAGGCAAGGAAAAAAAAAAAAAAAAAAAAAAAAAAGGGAACGAGAATGAATGGAAGAGTGACCAGGAAAACAAAAAAGGAAGGTGGCTAACCATGGGAGCACGACTTGCTCAGAATGAGGCGACAAGGAACTTTGTACACTTGGGAAGAAAAAAACACAATCACTCAACACAACCAAAAATATCAATCTAGAACGTTCAAAAAGACGCAAACAGCCCGTCACAGCAGCCGCTCAGTGTCTGCATCGTCCGAATCGAGACTCTCCTTGCGTGGTCGACCGCGATTGGACACAGAGACGCGAGACGACGACGACGACGACGACGACGACGTAGCACCATCCTCAATGTTGGTATTGCCGCCACGACTGGAGAAGGTGCGGTTCTCGTCAGCGGCGTCCGCACGGAGGCGATCGTACTCTTCCCACACCTCGTCCGTCAGACTGTGCACGCCGCGCCAGACAAGCGGCAGCTCATGCCTCCACCAGGCAACAAGGAGCGTGCACCCGAGTGTGCTTGGTACGAGGTAGAGCAGCGCTGGCTGGGCCTTGCCAGAGCCAACAAGCGTGGCATAGGTCGCCATCAACCCGACAAAGTAGGCAAACACGCACGAGAAAAAGTACACGGGTCGAGCACCTCGCGTAACATTGGGATGCGATGCTCGGAGCAGCACTGCGCACGAAATGATCGCCTCCACGTCAACAGCCGGCTCGGCCTCGTTCACGCCGACATGCTCGTGGGGCAAAGAGTCGGCAGATCCAGCTGCGTCGTCTTGCGAGCCCCGCGCGCTGCGTCGCTTGCCCGTCTCAAACATGGCAAGTGTGAGGCGACCGCGAAGCGAGCCCTTGACAACAGTGTCCACCAAATGTCGTCGATAGTCAAACATGAGGCAGAATGCAAGCAGAAAACTCGGCATGACCAAGTCGCCAAAGCCCAGCACAGTGTAGGCGACGCCACAGCTGCCGCTGTACGGATCTACAAGGCGTGGGAGCTTGAGCACCATCGGCAGCTGCTCGTTGGTCGATCCAGAGCCCGTGGCGACTTGCACCATCACACTCTCGCCATCGTTGGTGAACAGCGGGGTAATAAACACGAAAAAGATGTCGTAAAGGAAGAAGAGAATCAAGAGCAGAGATGCGACCTGGACACAAAAAGAAATGGGAAAAGAAGAAGGTTGGAACCACGAACAGGACAAACAGCACACAGGAAATAAAAAAAGGGGTTGCGTACCTTCACACTGCCGATCCGAATGCTTTTGATAATAACGGCAACGAAAATAACGCCCAAAAAGTCTTGCAAAATCCACGCAGACCTGTTTGCAAACGCAAAGAATAAATCAGCTCCTGCATCAAGAGCGCTCAACGACCACTTCCTCACTCCAAGGCAACCCCAATAAACCGATGAATGAGCTCAACTTACGACTCATTGCGAATCACGGCCCAGTGATGGTCAGCGACATGGCCATGGCAACCAGAGCGAGCTCGCGGATTTCCACGCTACCGCAACACGGCACTTGCAATGTCGCA